AGGCGTATATATATACATATTCCATCGAAAGGCTTTTTTTCCCTTTTTTTTCTTATTTTTTGTTCACCGAGTTTCGGTCCAATCGTGCAGAGCCACGCTTCGAGATTACGCGCGTATGTCGGCCCCTCTTCTCGTTTCCGGCAACTACCGGAAGCGCCGAAGAACCGGAAGAAAGGGGGGGCGCCTACTCGCGCGTGTACACGCTAATTACGTAGGTGTGTATACGTTTATTTATTACGCTAGTTGCGAACCCTACCGTAAGCCTACCGTAAAGCTAGCGACTTTTCTTTCCCCTAGGCTAAGTTGAGCCCCTTATAGCTACTATTTTTACTTGCCCCCTTCTCCTCCCCTAGGTTTCTAGCGATATTAATTATTGTTGACACTGAGAATGATTTTTCTAGCGTATAATTATTTCCGCGGGCGCGTCTTTCTATTCGGACGCCCGAGTACGACTGAATGTTCCGTTTAATCGAGGAGGATGCAACTTGTCACTAAATAAGCTTCGCGCCGCATCGGCTTTCCCACGCGGCGGAAAGAGCGAGGAGCCTTACGTCGAAATTACGTTCCTCCTTGTCCATGTTGACTCTTTTTTAATTGTTTTAACGGTCCTCGATCGTCGGCCGTCACGTCGCCCCGGGGACGCGCCGCCATTTTGGTACCCCGCGGCTTCTCTTCGAGACCATTACCAGAGAACCGCGGAAATGTCTCCGGAGACTTCCGGTCTTCATCCGACGTGGCGCTCGATGATCGATCTCTCGAGTTATGTTTGCTAGTCAGAATTGGTTACGCGCTGAAGCAAGCTAGGAATTTTCTTTATTGTAGGGCCCTGTTCTCGAGCTGCATCGACTCCGAACACTACGGTTTTTTAGTTACTATCTCGTAGACGCCATTGTCGTACGTTTCTATCCTTCTTCTCGGCGCCGTTGACATATTAATCCGTTTAATATCTTATTCCGTTATCTCGGCAACTTAACGAGAGATTTTCGTCGAGGACTTCGCTATCGTTTCTGCCCGAGGAGATCGACCCGTGAGTGCGATTCTTATCTCTTTTATAGCAGCCATTATTAAGCGTTGGGCGGTATTGGAATTCTTATTTTCTCTTCACTTTCTATTACTTCCGGCCATTCCGGGATATTAATTCCTCTCCTTAGAAGTGCTCGGTCGATCGGCTTAACTTCCAATCCGGGAATTTGGATATTCGAAAAAAGTGTCAACTTCCGGAAGCATCGCCCAACGGCATCGCTAAAAAATGTTAACGCACAACCTTAGCATGTTAATAATCGACAACCGCGATAGTCAATAGAGAGCCTAGGTTAACGATAATGACTTTTGCCCCAAGTGCTTCGTGCTTGTGTGTCCCATTGTTCGAGAACGTGATATTCCTAGCTCGGTGCGCGCGGCCGAGGCCGCCATTTTGGTTCCGAAAAGAAGGTCCGCATCTCCAAGGGCAGGCGGAACAGAGAGGAAGGAGAAAAACCTTTCGAGTACGCTGACGATTGTCACACGGAATTTAGTACACGTGCATTTATTAAGCATCGTTACTATTATTATTACCGCTCCCTCGGGGCTCCAAGAGAGGCGAGAAATTTCAAAGGGGAAGTGCCGACGTCCCGCTAAAGATTAAGAAAAGTAAAGTAAAAAAAAGCCCCAAATGGGGGAATTTCGAGAACCCGAGCGGACTCCTTGGGGCCCCGAGCCCCGCTATTATTATTAATTCTACTGGTAATTTAATTGACCTATTATTAGCGATAATTAACGATTAACCGCCCCCCAATGAATCGTGTTTCGGCGGACGAGGTTGGCCCTTTTCGAAAGGTTCAGAGACGATAGGGTTATTACGGGAGAGAAAGGGAATACGTGTGTGCAGGATTCGGGATTTGAGGAGCGACGTCGTGCCCTCGGTACACCGGAACTCGGAATCCCCACTTCCGGAGGCCGGGGCACCTTATCCATGAAATTTCCCTCACGACATCGTGTACATCTTTTTTCGGATTTCGGTGAAGAAGCTCTATGTGGGAAAGGACAGCTTTTTGAGATTCGGCCCACTTTCGGTTACGACTTAACTTTAGGCGGAGAGAATGAGAGAGTGAGAGGAGGAAGGAGAGAGAAAGGAACCGAACGAGCGAGAGAGGCTGAGAAACTGAATGCGAGTGTGACTGAGATAAAAAGATGTGGGATCTTCGAATAGAGCTGTTTAGTCTTCCTGATGTGTGGATCGTTTGTGCTAAATCGGAGGGAATAAATTAAAATAAATTACCTTTCTTGGAGAAACATTTGAGCCTTTTCCATGGGAATTTAATCACCGGATGAGTGTTTCAAAAAATCCATTTCGGCTTGGGAGGATCTTTCTTATAAAGTGCACGTCAGGAGGAGGAAGCGAAGCCTCGATTTCGAGTCCCGCAGGAAACTCTTTAGGCTAGACCGATTTTGGCTCGAAAAGTGGAGAACGGAAGCCAAAAAGCGACGTCTTTCGGATCCCGGGAGAGTCCTCCTAAAATGCGAATATAAATATATTTAAGGGTTCGTTAAAGGCCGAGGCGGAAATTAAGAGGCCCCGACGACTTCTGGCGGCGATCACTCCGGGAAATTCGACTTTTCGGTACCGACTATTGTAAATAATCAACTCGAGGAAAGGCGTGATCGGTTCCGGTACCGGAAGTCGCCGTTGACTCGCCTAAAACTAAGGCACTAGAAATTTACTTGCGTGGACGAATACGTGAGAAAGTGTGAGGACCAGGACGAATGCAAGAATTCTGAGATAAACGTAGAGAGAAAGTGAGAGAGAAAGAGAGAGAGAGATGACGGATTTAAAAATTCGATTAACAAGCGGATTAGTAATCGCAACCGATGGGCATTAAACTAAACGCGAGCGAAATAATTCTTAAGAGAGACTTCGGAGCATCTTTTTTCGGTGAAGAGAAAAGCGTCCAAAATTGTACCTATTTTCATTTTATAAATTATATATATATATATAAATCTATAAATATATCTACGCGCGAGGACTAGCGATTATTAATATATTGTGGGAAACGAGAGCGAATAAATCGGTGAAAGAGGGGAGAGCGAGCGAGGAAAAAAAGAGAGAAAGAGAGAGAGATATGAAATTCTATCTATATTCGGATGTGTCATTAGTTAAGTGGTGTGGAAGAGTGAGAGAGAGAGGGAGAGAGTGAGAGAGCGAGCAAAAGAAAGGGGAGAGAGACAAAAACTACTAGACAAAATTATCAGCGATTCGATAGCTCAAGCCAATTGTACATTGTATGTCGTTAGGTGCGCGATCCCACGGAAGAATTTGTTCGACAAACCGACGGAAAAAAGAAAAGAATAATGGATAATCGGAATTAAGCGGACTAAAAGAAATGGGGAGTCCCCGCAATTTGTAAATTGATCGACGATTGTAATATCGGTGTTCCTTGTTTTCTCGTTTCGCAGGGGTATACATATATTCACCTATTTATATATATATATATACATACGCGGTACAAATACTATAATATATTAACCTCCTCGAGGCGACGATCCCCCCGCGGAGAGAAGTCTCATCGTCACCCCCATTTGTATTTAAAACCACCCCTCGAGCGATCTCCATGTACAATAAGGACTTTCGGTTGGGAAAAAAAAGAAAGAAAGAAGGAAAGGAAAAATACGTCGGGGCGTGGGGAGATCGTTAGTTTCCCGAGTACCCCGAAATTCCTGGAGGGCCGGGATCTCGAAATTTGTAAATTCCCTTCCCAGTCTCGGCGAGGACCGTCGAGCCTCGAGGAGGTCGCTATTCGAAATCGTGGCTGATGATCAAATCTTTCGGTGAAACCAGAAAGAAACGAGAAACAGTGACCGGCCACGTTAGGGCCGGCACTGGGGAACCCTCGAGATGTAATCTTTCCTCGGTGTACTTTCACGAGTTTTTCTTTCATTCCTGACATTTGATTTGCGCACGACGTCGCACCCCGGAAGCAAGGTGATCGGCTTCCGGTCCTCGGCCGGCCGGAAATCGCTTCCGCCCGGCCGAGGCGGGAACGCGCGATTTCCAAGATGGCGCCCGACCGGAGAGCCGAAAAATGTCCAGTCGAAAAGTCAACCGCGTTGGCACCGTTCCCTTCGCCCGAAGCATCGCCGCCGTAAGGCCGCTTTTCCGAAAAATCCCAAAACATCGTCCTCGGTTTCCCCCGCTGCCTCCTATATCTCCATATCCCGCCCAAAAGTACCTCCACCCACCCACCCACCCACCCATCGAACTCTCCCAATTGCCAATGTGAATGAATGGTGGAATGCGTTAAAAGGAAAGCATCGAGTAAAGAACAACTGAGAAAGCACATATTTGTCGAACCGTAGGGACATTTTGCATTATAATTCTGTAACACGATGAGGAAAACAGGTTGGAAGAAGCTAAAGTACGAGGAAAACTAGTACACCTTCGGTTTTCTTCTATTATCGTTTCTCCGTTCGAACACGCTATATTGACATTGTCATTGATTATTATTAATGCTATTATTACTACTATTATCATTATGGTTTATTATTATTGCGACTATTACGACTTTATTATTATGATTATTATTATTGCAACCTTACTTGTCGCTATCATCTTGACGAAGCTGGTGGTGATTTTATTATTATCATTATTATTGCTATTACGTGGTATAATAAAAATTTAATAAGCAACTCGGTCTGATCTGTCCAACTGGTCCCGCCCCATTGTCAAGAAGCGTATCTTCGCTTTGAATGAAATTTAATTAGAAATATTTCAGAAATATATTAGAATTTCTATTCTTTTGTTTTCCTTCCTGCGGTCGCGTTTACCACGTGACGGAGACTCACGTGATTGTCTTTCTAAATGGTAACCGAGGTACCAGTAAATTTGGCGCTTATCAATCTTATGCATACCATGATAATATATTGAGTCTCTGACCTATCTTGTTCCCGCGGTCGGAGATAACGTTTCAACGATAGGAAGGAGAAACAGTCTCCGGTCAGAAATGGGAAGTTATCGAGTGAAGGAAAACGTGTCGCAAGGGGTCACTCACGAGATAGAGTGGAATCTGCCGTTTCGAATAGTGGTAGATGAGCTGCCGCTCAGAAAGGATGTTACGTTTTGGACGTATCAATGTGGACGCCGTGAAGGAAGCTTTTAACATCTTGAATCCACGCTCCATATCCGAGCTGGGACCCGGGAAAGCGCTCCTCTTCGGGCCTTCGAGGTCTGCACAAGATGGCGGCGAACGCCGGAAGTCCTCCACCGCAGAGGTCGCGCAAGAAGACCCCAAGCGGACTTGTTTATACGACCTACACGTGGAACACCAAGGTTAGTGATAATTGCGGACTCGACCGTCATTGTTCAGTGATGAATAGTTCATTGTAAACGTCTTCGACACAGGTAAAATAGTGAATTTCGCTGGATGGCTGTTACCCGTTCAGTACAAGGAGGCCATCGCCGCATCTCATCAGCACACGAGGACGTTGGCGTCCCTCTTCGACGTCGGGCATATGCTCCAGAGCAGGGTATCTGGAAAAGATGCCACGGAGTTTTTGGAGTCGTTGACAACAAGCGACCTCAAGAATCTCGCCGAAGGGTCTGCGAGTCTTACCGTCTTCACCGACGAGGATGGAGGGATCCTGGACGACCTGATCATCACGAAAGACAAGCCAGACCAGTACTACGTGGTGTCCAACGCTGGCAGAAGGCAGGAGGACGTCCAACTTCTTCGTGGGCGTAATGTAAGGTCCTTGAAATCCTGCCAATACATTTCCATGAGATTTTAAATAATTCCTAAGTTAACATCGTGAATATTGTCTAGGAGGAATTCAAGGCCCAAGGGAAAGGGGTCCATCTGGAGTTCCTGGATCCTTTGGAGCAAGGTCTGATCGCTCTTCAGGGACCCGAGGCTGCCAGGGCGCTGCAGAGTCTGGTCCAGGTGGATCTGACCGCGGTTAAGTTCATGCAGAGCATTCAGACCACCTTGGTGGGCAGTAAGGTGAGGATTACACGGTGCGGTTACACCGGAGAAGATGGCTTTGAGATCTCGGTACCAGGAAAGGACGCCGTTGGGGTGACGGAGAAGATTCTGGAGGACGCAGATGTTAAGCTCGCAGGGCTGGGAGCTAGAGACAGCTTGAGGTAGGATCTACAGGTGTCCGGGGGGAATCTCGCTAATTTCCCCCTCGTTTTCACAGGCTGGAGGCTGGGCTCTGCTTGTATGGGCACGACATCGACCAGACCACAACACCCGTTGAAGCTGGACTAACGTGGCTCGTTGGTCAGTATCCTGGGTCTTCCCTTCGTCACAACTTCCTTAAACCTAGATTCATATAAATAGGTTGATAAATAAGAGGTATATATTTTATTTTAATTTTATATGATTTCTTACGCTCCAGCAAAGAGGCGCAGGACGGAAGCCAACTTCCCTGGAGCCGAAAAGATCCTGTCGCAGATCAAAATAGGGCCCAGTAAAAAGAGAATCGGTCTTACGATCAACCAAGGACCTCCTGCCAGGGAAGGTGCGGCCATTCTCACGTCGGAAGGTGAATTTATCGGCAAGATCACTTCCGGTGGTCCTAGTCCCACTCTTGGTCGGTCCATCGCTATGGGGTACGTGCCTAAGGACTTGGCAGGATTCGGACGCGGCGTTTTGGTCGAAGTCCGAGGAAGAACCTACAAAGCGACTATCACTAAAATGCCCTTTGTTAAAAGTAATTACTATACCGGCAAATAACCGCTAAAGCAAGCTAATTTAGAAAGACGAAAGATTTGTTTAGTATCGTTGTCTTGTAAAAATTGAATGTAAGCGAAAGAGTGTCGAGAGGTACGAGTTAATGGTTTCTCACTTGGTGTCATGATTACTACGAATTCTGCAATAAACGTGAAACAAAAGAGTGGTTAATGTTCGCGAGAGAATTCTGATACGCAGGATGCCATTGTAGGATTTCATTTCTTGACAACAATTATTGTGGACGGAACGAGGAATAAAATCAATGTAACCAACGGTATTTGCATGACTTTATAAAGGCAACCGTAGCGCCATCTTGGAGAGCAAGGGTGAAGTATCTCTCTGATTCCCAAACCTACTCTACCGTGAAGAATTGTTAAATGGCCAAAAGTTTCATTAAAATTAAATCATTCTCTGTCATAGTGCACGAAGGAGCCATTGCATTGAATTAATATAGTAGAGACGTGGGTAAGCCACCACCGTCAACTGCCGCATGGTATTTATTACCATCACGAGTACGTGAGCCGCTAATGGCGACTGGTAGATGCCACCGCCATCGCGAGGGCGCGAGCCCCTACCAGAAATTCGTTGCGCCGCCCTTGGGGGCACAAAAACGGCGAAAGTTAACGTACGAAACCAGAGGGCAGCACAGGATGCGATCGCGCGACCCTGCCCGTAAGCAATCTCTCAACTCATTTCTGTTTCACATGCCGGTCGGCGATTGCTGGTTATACCGGTTCATCAGGTATCGATCTTATCGACCACGTCTACGTGAAAAGGTAAAAATATGATTTAATTTGCGCTCCAGAATAGAAAACGGTAGTAACTGGCCACGACTTTCACTTTCTAGAGGAGTAATGGGCACCACCCAGCTGTTCCGGGAAAGTTTATCGAATCCCAGAAACTCAGGACTCCTGAGAACTCTAGTGTTTTATAAACGTTCGGCTCATCGGCCAGGTATTGAATTACCTGGTGACAGTGTACCGCAATCAATCACTTGAAGAGTACAGTATTATTTAGCTTGGGCATTTGTCATGGCACTACAACGGGTCCTAAATATTGGCACTCAACTTATTTCAAGGAAATTCCATATTTCTCAACCTTCGTAAGTAAAAACAATGGATGTTATGATTTAATCATTTAGTAATTTTATACGAGTTATTTACGTTAAAAATGATTTTATTTATAGATCCAAAGCAGTAATCATAGATGGCAAGAAGATATCGAAGCAAATTCAGAGTGAATTAAAGGCTTCGGTGGACTCGTGGGTACTTGCTGGTAACAGGCGCCCAAAATTGGTAGCAGTGCTTGTAGGCAACAATGAAGCCAGTAAATTGTATGTCAAGAAAAAATGCGTAACAGCTGAGTCTATAGGTAATATGGATTTTTTAAATGTTTGTAACAAAATTATTATTATTAGTTAATAACTTATTTCAGGTATCGATAGTGAAACAATAACAATGTGCGAAGACACTTCTCAAGATGATTTGATTCGCGTGGTCGAAGAATTAAACCACGATCATTCGATTGATGGTGTACTGGTGCAATTACCACTACCAAACAACATTGTTGAAAGAGAGATCTGTTCCGCTGTAGCACCAGCTAAAGATGTGGACGGATTTCATCTTGCAAATATGGGAAGACTGTGCTTAGGTAAAAATTGAAATATTCTTCCATTAATTCTGTGACAAATTTGCAAAAACTAATAGAGGATAGCTCTGATGATTATAATAATTCATGTAATTATATAAACCTTGTGTCTTTATATGTAGGGGACAGGGGTATAGTTCCAGCAACGGCGCTAGCTGTCAGGGAATTAATAAGCAGGTCGAACATAGAGACCAAAGGTAAGAATGCTGTGGTGATTGGTAGATCGAAACATGTCGGATTACCGATAGCTCTGTTGCTGCAAGGAGATGGAAAAGGTACATGATCTAATATTAAATCAATGTCAAAATGACCATGTTACTTTATCAACATAAACTATGTAGGTCAAGTGGGAGCTTTGGATATGACGACAACAATTTGTCATCGCTACACCCCCCATGAGGAGTTAAAGAAATATACCCAATTGGCAGATGTCGTAATCTCAGCAGTTGGTATTCCTCGGTTACTGACAAAAGATATGATCAAGCCAGGAGCATGTGTTATCGACGTCGCTATTAACAGAGAATTAGTCAATGGAAAATGGAAATTAACAGGCGATGTAGATTTTAATGAAGTAGCTGAAGTGGCTGGACATATTACACCAGTCCCTGGTGGAGTTGGCCCAATGACTGTGATTATGCTTATGAAAAACACCTTAGAGGTATCTCAAAAAAGACCTCAACAGTTAATCTATGAAGTTGGTAAAGAATTAGAGGATACAGGAAGGAAATTGCTCAACAAATATAATTAATTACTAACAGAGAATGACAAGTAACCATCATTGGCAATTCTGAAAAATTCATATTTGAACGCTCGGACTGATTACAAAGTATTTTATGTAAGGTCCTGATTAATCTGGACAAATAATTTAATGATGTGGATTAATAATGCTTTTATAAGTTTAATATATATTAATTTATAGGATATATTTAAATAAAAATGGTGTATGCAAATGTGTTACTGAACAGTATATTACCTTCTAGTATTGAAATAAATTTGTATAGTATACTACTTTAATTGAAAGATAAATGTTTGAACTATTCTTATCTCAGCGGTAAATTCTGTCCGAAAATTAATGTTTATCTATTTATTATATGAACGAGAAAAAAATGACTATCAAACTCTAACCTCAAACCACGTGATCGCCGGTCGGCAGATACCAAGGTTTTATGGATATTCATATTTTTCTTATTAATACAGCTGAAAATAAAAATATTAATATAGTGTCTACAATTTAAGAGAAAAACTTAAATGAAGAAATAAAACTCAAACGGTTCGGATGTCATAAATTTAGGATTCTTACAAGTATTTTGTGGTTAGGTTCTCCAGGGTTGCACTTTGAGATGCTAACTAGAAGCGCAGATTTGATACAATTTTTACTCGGAACAAACTCTCGATCTCTTTCTCAGATATCTAAAATTAGCAATTATCACTTAATCTCTTATCTTAAGAAATTCGTAGGATCTAAAAATGATTATAACTAGATTCAGTCATGTATTAAACTTAAACAAGAGACTTGTGAACTTCAAACTAACTAAAACATATTTTTACAAGAATTCAGTGCTCGAGATGTCCAAGCAAGCAGCAGTCACCAAATCGAAAATATTGGTAACTCGTTCAGATATTCCGGCAGCTGGGATGACCTTACTGCAAGATCGGTAAATGTCTCGTATCTACTTGCCACAAAGTTACATTTACTTTTAATTATATTTTTTGTACCAGGTGTGAATTAATTGTGTGGGACTCGCCACTGGCAATCCCTCGATCAGAACTTCTATCAAAGGTCGTGGGAGTCAATGGAATCTTTTGCACATTAACAGATAAAATTGACGAGGAAGTATTGAAAGCAGCTGGTCCCGAGTTAAAAGTAGTAGCTACCATGTCTGTAGGTGTTGATCACCTGGATTTAAAAGCTTTAAAAGCCAGAAATATTCCCATAGGATATACACCTGGAGTTTTGACTAATGCAACTGCCGAACTAACAATGGCTTTATTACTAGCTACAATGAGAAGACTGATAGAAGCGAATAGAGCAATTTACAAGTGAGTACCAGGTAAGTTTGTACATATTTTCAATGACTGAACTATTTCTTCATGTTCTAGAGGTGAATGGAAAACTTGGGGAGTGACTTGGATGTGCGGACCAAAGCTAGCAGGTTCTACCGTTGGAATCGTTGGACTCGGAAGAATAGGTTTGAGGGTTGCGGAATGTCTCCAAGGTTTCAAAATATCCAGACTATTATACTGGAGTCGAAGAGAAAAAAAAGAAGCGACAGAATTTGGAGGAAAAAAGGTCGACCTGGACGAGTTGCTCAAAGAAAGCGATTTTGTCATAGTACTCATCGCTCTTACACCAGAGACAACCAAAATGTTCGACAAAGAGACTTTTGAAAAGATGAAGCGAACTGCCATATTTATTAATTCGAGCAGAGGCGAAGTTGTCGATCAGGCAGCTTTAATCTCAGCTTTAAAGGCTGGTACGATCAGAGCTGCTGGATTGGATGTCATGACACCAGAACCAATACCACTAAACAGTGAACTTCTCCAACTGGATAATTGTGGTACGCATTAAAACAAATGATCTAAATTCATAATTATTAAAAACAAGAATTCACTACGATTGCACCGTTTAAAATTATTTTTTCAGTTGTACTGCCACACATAGGAAGCGCTAATACAGAAACCCGAGAAGAAATGGCGAAGATAACGGCAGAAAATATCTTAGCAGTTTTAGACAACTCTGCGATGCCGGCACGATTGCAGATTTAAATAATAAAATCAACATTTCTGTTAATTTATCAATAATCCGAGACAAGGAAGTCAACGAGAGGCAAGAAATGACAACATCGCATCTCATTGTCATCTCAGTAACCCCTTATTATTTTTTATTTATGAAGTAGAGTTCACTCAAAACTTTGGTCCAGAGTTTAGGTGTATCACTCTCGAAGAAAGAGTCGGTATGGTGTCTCGATGTTGACCAAAACGAATACAAGGCGATCGAGGTCTCAGGCTGTCCAGACAAGCTGACGTATTCGGAGAGATGCTGCCAGGCTTAGAAAGATTTTCCTTTTCTCGGGGAAAAATCCAAGAAATTCCAGAACACGTGGCTAGGGCTCTCCTCAGGGAACCACTTGTACAGCCGTACAAAAGTGGGTTCAAAGCTGCGTTCACCATAACTAAATATCTGCTGATATACCTAACATACAGCATATGGAAAAGGGCGAATAATCTATTTAAACAGAAAGCCAGATATTAGGAGTTCACTTTCACAAAATTAAATGTAAATAATTTATATCCCATATTCGTAAAGGAAAAAATAAATCTTTCGTATCGAATACTTGTACTCACCACAAGAGATACATAGACTCTGCTTGACCGAGCTTTGCAGGTTTCTGCAGTAATTGAGCCCTTCGCAATACCATTGCAGTGAATGGAACTCGAAACATTATGAAGGAAAGCACTACAAGTGCCAGTACTCGAGCAACTCGCCCTTTGTAGCGGACTACAATGGGATGCTTACTTTTCAGGGCCTGCGACTCATAGCGTCCAAGCTGTTGAATCGACAATAATTACTCACCTTTCAGGACCGACAAGAAATCACTTGCCATAATAAGTAAAGCACGTTACCTTAATAAGAATAGCGGAGTAGCAAACAGCCATGATGGCCAAAGGTACCCAAACACTGAAGCAAACAAAAACGTGCCAGTATGAATAGAGTATTTTGGTGTCCTCGGTACAGAACATCTCCAAGTGATCCATCCATTGTCTCTCTTCGTATCTCCTGAAAAGTGCCAGCGGAGCTGCCAAGACCAGTCCAGCGATCCACGTAAAGACTAGTAATATTTTCACAGTTCTGAAAAGAGGTTAGAATAAAAATGTAATAAAGCTGCGTCGAACAGAGTATTAAAAACAAAAGATGTATGAACAGATTTAAAATTGTGGGAATGTATGTACATACCTGCAAGTCAACTTTCCGGACCACTGGAGGACTATGCTGGTAACTCTATCGTAGCTGACAGCACTCAGGCTGAAAACAGCAACGAGAGTCAAGGCTTGAAGAAGGAGTCCATCGAGGCGACAACCAACAGAGCCTAGCATGTAATTCTGGAAGAAGTCAACGCAGAGAAACATCCAAGGACACAACATGCACGTCCCAAGATCAGCTATGGCCATGTTTGCGATGAAAAGATTGGTGGTGGTACGGAGTAATTTATTTCCCAGGATCACTCGGATCAGACTGCTGTTAGCCAGGACACCGACGACGAACACTGGGAGGATGGTCATGACTTTGACGATGATCTCCCAGGTTGGTCTGATGATCCAAATATCCGAAGGGAACCGATACTTTGTGGTGTCGATGTCTTGCCACTGAAATTTAATTACAGTCCAGTTACTTCGATGCACTTAACAGTACTGGTTTAAAATAATATAAATTACTAAGAGAATTTGGTTACTGAGTAATTCTTCTCGGTGCTCCCAGGTGGAAGTTCCAAATACAGGTTCCACTGAACATCCACTATTAGGAAGACCATCTTCCTGCGATGGAGTCTTCTTGTCAAAAGGGTGACCAGTCAAAGGTGGACCGTATCAATTGCAGATACGATTCTTTTACAGCATATGGTCCATTAGTATCGCCAAACAGAGGAAGTTTACTTTGCTCTTCAAAGTAGAGGCGACTTCGAGGAGACTCTTGAGTGATAACGGTCTCGAGCACTCTCGAATAGAGCTTAGAGGTAAACTCTGTCAGCATTATTAAAGAATAAATTTGGACCTACCCAATAAAAGAAACGGCAGGACCTGCTACTTTTTAACCAATAAAGAATTTTATTCAATACAAATACGATCGGAGTAACAGAGAAAGAAGCAGACAACGGTACCGAAGGGTACGAGTGCCCTGTGAATAACTTCAATTGAAAACAAAATTCCACGCCCCGTCCAAGGATCACCAGAGCACTTTATTTGGTGGAAACGAAAGTTACAGCACAACGCGCACTCAATATTCTCAAACTATGCGGATACTTTTCGTGGGAACCTTCGGATGGATTCTTTAACATCTCATAAATCTTCCCCGACGCCTTCCTCGTCACGAAACTCCAATACTCTTCGGTGCGTCGTGTTACCGTATTAAATACGTCGTTTACAGAATAAATAATTATTATTCTCTAGATAAGATTGCACTAGTCAGCAAATTACGTCTTTGTACTGGTTTGATTACTTTCTAATCAGTCGAATTTCCGGATATCTCGGATACCGGAAGATGATCACTCTTTTCAATTATTTACGGACCAGCCTGTGGTCCCCGATGAAGCTTTATTTCGACGACCCTGAGCCAGTCACCGATCCATCTAACTTCCACAAAGAGGGTGTAATTTTAAGGCAAGTTTTAACGAAGACGAAGTAACTAGTCCGTAAATAACCCTTTCCTGCAATTCCCACCATTCCCTATCTCTATCCATTGTAAAACTCTGCAGACGTTATCTTCTAAGTCCATGCAACTCCATGCCGAGCCCCAGATCAAAGGAACATAAACAAATGGTACGATTAGTAACGATAACATAATTCACAGACGAAACGTAACAACAGCATTTACACCAGCCAATCGACCTAGTTCTGGACTCGATGCTCTCTTTCGATGAACTTCGAAGGGGTTTGAAATGAGTCGAAGAACTCAACGATAAAACAAACTCAACCATAAAACGAATTAACTTTCAACAAGACATCCGAATGTCAATCCCTACTCCTTTCTTACCATTTAAAAAACTTAGCAGTTTCTCTGTGAAATTTAATTCTGCTTACCACTCCGACACACTCTCGAGACAAATCTACAGCTCGATAAGATGGAAATTGATCGTAGTAAAATTGCACCGTTCTAGGATTTACACCACCATTGAGGCATACTACGAAAGACCCGTTTCTTCCAAAGTGGAAAAATCATCATCGATTAACTCTTCCGATCCGACAGAAGAAATGACTAAGTGAGCAAAACCTTTCGAAGCTTAACTTAACATCCCCAGTTCCTGGGGAAGATTGAAGATCTGGCCAAAAGTGACTACAATTCCTTTCGCGAACTATCACATCGCCAGATGAACGCAAAGGCTTTTTGACTAGCTAGGGTTCAATTCAATCGGTGTCGTCAGCTTCCGAAGACTGTGCGACAGGCAGCGGAGAAGGTATGACGAGTTCATCATCCTCGACTTCCTCCTCGGCCAGAAAGAAATCTTCCCCCTCGTGGACTTCCTCTTCTCTAGCTGGTTCCGGAGGAGCCAAAACATCCTGACTGTGCTGTTTCAGGTGATCTTTCAGCGCAAACGCTCTTCCGTAGGATGCGCCGCAAACGTAGCAACTGAACTTCAGGTTGTTGTCCTTCTTGTGCGTCTGAATGTGAGCTCGAGCAGCGTATAAGGACGCAAAAGGTCTGGAGCACTCGGTGCAACGGAAGGGCTTTGTGTGACTATTCTTATGACCGGCGAGCTGCACTCTCGTCTTGAAGGTTTTTGGACAGTACGGACAGGTGTAGGCTCTTTCCTCCCCATGAGTCAGTAAGTGATGGTTGTACACCGAGGATGCCTTGAAACGTTTCCCGCAGTGTTGGCATGCGTAAGGTCGAACCCCGGTGTGGGTTCTCATGTGCAGCGTCAGGCAATAGGAGACACGAAAAGTCTTGCCGCACACCTTTCGATTGACAGAATAGTCAGGTTTAGAACATCGTTTCAGGTTTCAGGGTGGAGTTGCAACAAGACTCGTTAAGGAAAATTATTTTCAAATTACAGGCGGCCTCGGTAAATAATTGATCGCTTACTTCGCAGGCGTGGGGCTTCTCGCCGGTGTGAATGCGCTCGTGCTTGACTTTCTCGTGCGGTCTGGTAAAGCGACGACTACAATGCTGGCATTGATATGGTTTCAGATTTTGGTTTGACTCGATGTCTCCAGGAGGTGGTGTAGGTGAACGAGTTTGACTCAGTTCGGTGTGAACCGCGGCATGCATTGCCAGACTATCAGCCGAATCGAACTTTCTGTTGCAGATCGTGCACGTAGCCGAATCGCCAGAATGCAGAGCCATGTGCGCCGACTTGTACGACTCCGAGAAAGTCTTGCCTGAAAGTTGTGACATGTAGGCTCGGTACCCCAGATTTTTAATTCTTTGAAAGAGGAGCTAACATCGAATTGTGAACATTTCACTTTCTAGAAATATTTCTTCGTAGAAAGGTTAAAAATGTCGAGTCTACCAAAAATAGTCTTACCGCATTCTCGACATGTGAAAGACGAAGTTTGAATTCCCTCCGGAGCTTCCACGTGTCTTGCCCTAACTGGAGCATGCATCCGAGAGTGAAGTCGTAGGCTTTTATGGGACGAGAACTCCGTGCCACAGGAAGTGCAAACGAACGCTCTTTGCATCCCGTCTAATTCGCCCTCGTGACTTTTCGCGTGCATCTGTAAAGCTTTTATAGTTGCAAACGTTTGATCGCAATGATCGCACTGGTTGTTTCCATGAAGACACGCATGGACACGAAAATCTCCGAGCTTGTCGAATTGTTCGAAACACTGGTTGCACCGATACACTTTTGTTGGAGCCGAAGCTACGTTCTTATCTCTAACCTGTATAAATCATTCAAGACCATTAATTCGTGACTTTAAAACGTAATGTGGAAAGGGTTGCACTGGAACAATACCTTGACACCTTCTACGTTAGAAAAGAACTTTTCTATCATCGGTGCCTTTGGAGGACGATCCCAAAACCGTTCTATTTGTACAACTTTTCTTGTATAAAGCCTTCCTTCGCTATCCACGCATTCTTCGGTACGCAGCGTGTTCATCGTCTGACGTTGACGAGCATTAACCGTAGGAGGCAAATCTTCAGGTATCGGTGACGGAACTGTCGCTGGGAAATCGTCTAACTGTTGTTCTGCCATCTCTAGGACGACCTCCTGGCCATCGTGATATTGCTTGATATGGTCGAGTACCGAGTTGAAACTCATTCCACAACTACTACAGCTATACAGTGAGTCTGAATCGATCTGGAAATAATCACTTCCAAGGATTACAAAAAATGTCCAATTAACCCTGTACAGTATTACTAAAATATCTCATTAGGAACAGGTTTAGAAAGAAAATTTCATACCATGCAGGCAAAGGATGGCATCGTGCAGGGACAAGTAATAATATTAAAACGACAATACCTGTTCTTCTTTTACCTCGCTGAGTTCCTGTTTAACTTGAAGCAATCCGGCCTCATCCAGTTCTTGTACTTCATTAGTACCATCAATACCAATAAGAGTACGGCTACTTTCATCGAGTATGTTGGATGCATCAGGCAGGATACTAATGTTGTTTCTTTCACAGGGCTTCGCTTCAATGCTCTGTACTTGCTTGAACAATGGATCCAAAGCTCGCGTCTCTTTAGTCTGTTTGTTACTAACGTTTACCTGCTTCTGCACTTGCTTAACAGTCACCGCATTTACACTGTTTTCTTTATTTCCTGAATCCATCTTTTCAATGACATTTATTTGACCTGAAATTTACGGACTCATTCAATTCCTTAAGTAAATATTTGTCACAGGAATCCGACTCAACATTCAACATCTAAAATACAACATTCATTTTTACCATTCTCATCAACCTCTATTGTTCGAGGACCTCCTACTATGACGATACCCTCTTCATTAACAGTTGCTATAAAACTCTCGTCTATTTGTCCAACATGAGTCTCCTACGATATAAGAAATGAATACATCATGCTTTGGATAAATAGCTTCATCATGAAATCATAACTTCTTAAAACACTCAAACACGCCGATTGGCGATTACATGATATTCTAAAAAAATTAAGCTCATACCAACAAATATATATGAAATCCCTCATACCACAAGAACATTATTTTCGTTCTGTAGAGAGTGCTCCTCCTGTGGCTTGTTTTCCGAGTCCAAGGACTGCTTAAGATCAGGCTCCTGTCCACATCGATCCAAATGCTGTATCAGTGCCATCACCGAGTCTGATCGCTGCGAACATCCAGGACAATACAAATTGTCCGTCATGCTGAGCAAATGGTACTTTAGTGACTGTGAATCGTCGAATGTCTCGCCACAGCACATGGGACACACAAGGTGCAAAGAACCCATTATTCCCTTTCCCAATGCTATACCCTCGTCAGCCCTGTTCACAGGGCTGATAGAATCATTAATCGCGAACCCACAGCCGGCGGGGCATTAAACTAACCGAGGTATCTGGACTTTTAAAGATCTCTACCATACGCCTTCTGGAGGTCTTCTCTATCCTGAGAATTCAAAATCCCCGGCAGGGAGCTCTGCAATGACCTAACCTGACGTTATGCCGTAAAAGAACCGCACGACTCGAAATTTGTTCTCATTTTCCTGACGTGTTCCTCTTCGTGGAGTTAACCTCAACTTCTCAGAAGCCAAATATCTCCTCCCCGTCGTGCCGTTTCTCGGGGATTCGGGATGTTATTAAAAGGAAAGAAATCGCCACCGCGATAGAGATAAGCTCATTGGATGAACTTCAGCGCAAACAAATGCCGCTCACAACAATCATGAAGTTAGGGAAGTGATAAGTGAACCACGAAGTCAGCCATTGGTCGCCGAGAAAGCTACGAACCAGGGGGTCGATTTTGTGAAGAGTGCTCACTTCTCGCACTTTCATCTCATTTGAGTTTATTCACCCGATTTTGTATCTTCCGGATGAAAATGTGGAAAATGAAACAAGAAGCATGTCCATGTTCCATGTGGAACAGTTTCGATGGAGGGTCGTTAGATAGCAGCGATTCAAGCTAGTGTGAAACGTGGGCCATCTCTACTACTCTCTGTGGATAAAAGGAACTCGAGAGGTTATCTCAGAAGCTTGGTCGCCTTCTCTTCGCTGACGGGTTTCATGTGAGAAGGTTAGTTTTTATTTTGACTCCGAAATTTCCTAATAATCCGGCGCGTCTAGGTTATGTCGGGGCGCCGGCCGCACTAGAACGATGCTTTCGGTTACGTAAGGCAATCCATTTCTGGTGGACAAGGTGAATTATCGATTCGCGACATCGCTGTTGAAAAAGTCATATATATTTCTTCTGGTGAGACTGCTCCTTCGAGATTCCCGACACCCGGCGAGTGCGTGACCGATGTGTGTGAAACACGTGCGATGCGTAGAAGGGCTCACGAGACGCCGAAATAATTTTAGAAATTCTACCCGGCGTCGTTAAGAACCACTAATCATCGATTCGAAATAAACTGGTAATTATAAGATAACGTTATCGGAGATTAAGAAAGGGTCATAGTGTAGTGAGAGGCAATGAGTGCTTCGAGTCGACTCATAATACCTCTGTAAAGGTCGTTTTCCCATGACCGAGTGCGCCAATGTAACCCTTATCGCGCGGCGAGGTTATGACACCTACTATTTATGAATGAACGCGAAGTAATAGATCTAAGTTGATAAATTATCATTTACATGTGCACCAAATATTAGCTTTCCGTGTCGCTAGCAAACCAAGGAAAAATAAAAAGTTTTGGTCTCTCGTTCGGAAAGCTAATATTTCTTTGTTTCTTATTTATATAATTTTTATGTAATAATTATGCGAAAGTTTATAAGGAAAGTTTTTCTATTAGAGGTCTTCCAAAATATTAGAATATTAAAAGTGCACTATGATTCATTTGCCACATCGCATTTCATAAAAGAAAACAAGTTCTCAAATGATCGGTTCGATGCCAAACGCGCAATTGAAGGAAGTAAGCCATTTAACGTATTTCATGTCTCGAGCGACACCTCGACAGGTGAAAGTAAACTGACAGTTTTAAAATTAGCTGTAGCGGTGTGTTTCATTCCATTTCGATTTCTAATACTCATTTTATTGTACAGGTCTTTTATGTCATTATAATTTCTTAGTGCACTTGAGATCGTAGAAGTTGTTTTTTTGGAATAGGCCCAAGATGTGCGATCACCTAGAGACTGTGTGTAATTTAAAAATACATATTTGTTCTTAATTTAAACGAGAAGTGCTGGTGCCATGTCGTCAACATATTTGTCTATGTAATTGAATTTGCGGTCGGCGTCAAGATCATTGCCGTTAACCCGAGGTGAAGCATATGCAGATGGAAACTGGGATATTTTGGTCTCAGACTAAGTGTTCACCGCAGCTGCATATGTCAAGAGGAATGTACATGCAACTCCATGGCGCCTGTCGCGCAATTGTTGGACCCGGAAAATGTTTACATCGTGCGATCGACAGTGCAATACATGCTCATCCTACTTTCGATTGCACATGTAGTTCATCGTTGCATACGCATGCATCAGAAATGTGCAGACAGTATTGGCGCCTGAGGCCTGTGATAATTTTAACCCTCGTTAAAATTCGCCCATGAAACAGCGAAGTCAAGAACATTCAATGCGAAGCGAAGGAAACCTTTGTCATCGGTGAAACCAATCGATTCAAGACCATCGTTGGAGATCATCGACAGAATTTTGTGGATACACCGAAAGCCTGTTTCCCCGAAAACGTCGAATATTTTCGTTCCCTTGTTTTCCTGCAAGCCATTTTGCAACTCGACAGTGATTTGCAAGAAGTTCCAGAGATGTGCGTCATCGAGGAGTTGCACTTTGCAGTATCGCGATGCGATAAGGGAGATCAATTGCACTGGAAATAGAACGCTTCGTGTTCCACTAGTGTCGTGCTCATTGTCTTAAGAAAAACCACAAGAATTTGTAAGCACTTCTGTACACGCTTTGTACTCGTGCGTCCCGCGTGTTCCATGAAAGTCTGACTCTCATTAATTGTGATACGACTCGTGCATAAGCTATCTTATGCAGTTTTCATTGTTCCGGAGAGTTCGCACAGTGTAAATTATTTACAAATGTACAGTGAAAATTGTTCGGATATGTTGTGAACAATGAAATGTTCCGTGGCAGGTCAGAACGACAACTATTTAGAGACGTAGCACAATGATAATTGTTGTACACAATGTGTGTCCGAGTTTCATGGGATATTATTCCGTGGCGTGATAAGAGAAACATTGTGGCAGACATTGTCAACATGTCTCTGCGTTTCTCTACACCACCACGGTTGATGGCGGGCTGCCAAAGTCACCTAAATTAGCACCGGCCTTTGCGTTACGAGTTCCCTTCGGACCAGTTAGAAACTCTCGCCCGGCTAACTCCCCCGCGAGATCCTCCTCGCTGTCGGGACGATACGGTAAAGAATTCCACTCGGATAAGTAAATGCGTTCCTCGCCCCTCTTTTCGCGACTTCCCGATCGAAGGTTATTGCGCGCAATCGCCTCGAGGATTGTCACGAGAGATCGTCGTTTAGTATCAGCGAGGAGATCCGCGAGTGGCGGCTGCGCGGTCGGCCCGGTCCCGGCGAGTCCGAGTAAGCCGGAGTTTTGCGCGTTACATATTGTTTATTAGAAAAATAATACAATTAGAGAATAACGGTGGTAATTGTCCTCGAATGACCGACGTACTTTACGTAATATTTTGGCATAAAGGCGTTCGTATCCTTGCATAACTACCTTAAGGTGAAGTGAAACATCCTTCAAATCAGTCGATTCAAATACAACACTTTTTTTCAAGGGCATTAGACCAAACTGTCCGAAACTTTGACACGTCACTCCTGATCGTCTAAGAATTGTCCTGACACGTTCAAAATTTGGATTTTTCAAAAAAATTTTTTAACTCAGTCTAGACCGGAATCAAAATGGCGTCGAGCTCTCATATTTCGATCGATATACAATTATCGAAGGCTCTGATATGAGAGTCGAAAGGGTCAGGACAATTTTACGACAATTTAGAACACTCTGGTAATCGATAAACTCGCATTTGAACGGGAACCGAGCATTGAGTAATGAGTCATTGAGTAAGCCGAAAGGGCAATTGAATAATCGTGTAATGTTAATTATTCCTGTAATGTTTCAGGGTGTGAAGAGGAGGTCCAAGTCACGGCAACGAGATGTATTCAACGCGTGTATTGTGTTACGCACTCCGTCTCTCGTTAAATCAGGTAAGGGTTGTAACGCTATATGTTCACCTTTAATTAGGTAATTGGTAAGACCATGAAGTTCATAAGGGGAGAATTAATGAAATCGTCAAGTTTCAGAGCCCCGGATCCTCGTTATATCGCAAAGGCGTGGACCGCGTGACCGCGAAGACGGCCCTCCTCCTCGCCACGGTCGGCGTGTCCATGAGCATGTTCTCCCTGAAGCAGATGCTGGCGTCGCCTCATCAACGTCGTTTCCGGCGACTCCACTAAATCCGAGATCGAACCACCGGCGAGGAGGCAGATCGCGACAGCAACCCTAGTCCCAGCCACGAGAAGCAACGTCGACATCGTCGCCGGCGCCGTCAAGGTTGCTCCTCGCGAGGAATAGAATTAGGCTACGGTTCTTCTTCTTTTTTTTTCTTTTTTTTTTTCATAGCAAAAGGGGAAAAGGAGCACGACGCGGAAAGGAAAACCTGCCACGGGAGGGGCAGCGTTTCTCATCGTACTATTCATAGAAACGTGCCGTTGAATACGGAGGAAAAGAAAAGGAGATAAAGCCAAAGGGAAGGAATCAGCGATGATAAGCGTGGGAGTGAATCTCGCGTCCTGGTTCTACCGGGGAAAAAATTGAAAGAAAAAAAAGAAAGAAGCGAAAAGGATAAGTGTAAAGGCCTCGGCTCGCATTTTCTTCCGCCTCCGGGGTTGCTCCTTTTATGGAGCTCCGGGTGAGGGGGAAGGAAATGTCGGCAGCTTATGACTTTCCTAGGTTTCCCGAATTCGGCACTATGGAATACGAGGCGTTGATTATGCGCAACGAGTGCGACGTCTCGTATTTCGGTTACATCGAGCTCAGCACTTGGTACAGGATGGGGAGGGGAATATTCTAGGTCAGTTTTAGGGTGCGCTTTCTCGTCTGTGTACAAGGCAGAGGTGCAAAGGCGATTGCATTGATTATATCTACCGGGGATGATAATCGATAAGGAGATGCATTCGAACTAGGGAAAAATGTAACGCGTTGTATTTCGGTTTAGTCGATGGTATAGGCGCATTAGCGATTGCATTGATTGTAATTATATGCGATGATCCTCGATGTCGAGATGCTGGGTGCATCAGTGATTATATTGATTACATCTACGAGTGATGATCATCGAAATCCTAGGGTGTATATTCGAGGACGAAAAAGTGTAATGCGTTGTATCTTGGTTAAATCGAAGGTATCATAAAACGACTAAACTGTGAAAAATGGCATTGTGCAGGTTGATAGGTCGTCGGATGTTACTCGCGCGATCTTTCGGATTGTTGTACCGCCTTGGAATAATTTTCCTTGCCATATAGTCGTGCAATCGTCAAACACGCTTTATGTCTTTTCAATTTATTCACCCTTATTAACTTACCCGTTATGTTAGCATAACTCAGCCAAAGAACCCAGTTCCCGTGTTGACGCATAATACCCAATAGTAACTAAGTAAAACGCCAGATGGCAGCACGGGCGAATTAGAGCATTAAAAAAAAAAATGGCAAAAATAGGAATACAATTAGTAAGTCGGAATCGTGAGAAAATTTAAGGGTAATTTCAACCGTTGTAAAGAATTTGGGACTTAACATATACATTTATTTATAACTATGATACAGTCTCGCGCACACACACACGCACACATACGTGGTTCCTTATCGTACCGTAGACTTCGGCAGAACGTCACACGCGGTTCTTCTCGTACGTCGCGTTTATCGATAATAAAAGTACACCGATCGGCGGGCTGCTCGATTCGCAAAGAAACGGAAAAATAAAGAAAGTAGGAGAAAGGCCAGGGTAAGTGGAAAGAGAAGGGAGAAAAGTTAGTAGAACAAATGAGAAAGGAAATACGCGAGTTCTCCCCCCGACGTATAGAAGTACTCTACTTAAACGAACTTTGGCAAGCTTGCTTTCGAACTTTGGCAAAATTTCTCACGCCGTGGCCGAATCGTCGGATCTATGAGAGGAAATGCGCAAACCAATGATTTCGGGAGAAGGAGAACGCCGCCATTTTGGTTCCGCAACGTCTCGCCGAGTTATTCAAAGTTTCCCCTGAATTATTCAGTTTAGACGTTGCCTCGTGGAGGAATGATCACTCAGTTAGTGCGATAAAATGTTTAATTAATAGTTCACCTCGTAACGCGAATTGATATTAAGAGAATCAGTCGTCGAAGTAACTAACGTTGAGATGAACCGGAGCCAAGATGGCGGCGTCGAAACGAAGTGCAGATTAATCGACGGCGTTGGAAAGACCCGTCCCGCCTTTACAAGGTAAAGGACCTCCGAAAAGTACGGTCGATGTGGTGCTTGGCTATCACAGTGTGGCATCCCTTAGGAGAGGAAACGTAATATAATAAAATATCGTTAGAAAAAAAAAAAAAAAAGAAAAACATTCCACGACAGTTCGCAATTTTCGCATGTTTTGGATATCGTTAGGGCGATACGAAAACGGTGTATAAAGGGCCTCAGCGGGTATAAATCTGTCTATTAGACTGGATTCGAGCTGCCCGGCGATATTGGGCTGTGTTTTTTCCCAACTAGAGCTAAAAAGTGCCTAAAGTGCCACGAGATATCCCGCCTCGGCGGCAGACTCGGATCTGTCGGTACACCCTCTCCTTCGATCTTGATTTATCACCCGTCCCTCTCTTTCTCTCCCTCTCGCATTTCGAATGCTATAGGTAACGTAAGATTAATGAGAAAATTAACGCGGCGCTCGTAAAGCGATCGCGGGATTTTTCATTTTCCCGCGCTTGGCCGGCGATCAGCTGATCGCTGTCATCGCTGTTTACGGTCAGCTGATCGCTGTCGTCGTTGCTCAGGTGATCGTTGTCATCGATCAGCTGATCATTATTCGCGATTGTCTCGGAAAGAGTGCGATCGAAACTCTAAAACGACTTTCGACGGCGGTTTATAACGAAAGGATACAAAGTATTGCTAGAGAAATAGAACCAGGCTTCTCTAGGACTTATCGATGCTGCCCTTGTTGATTAACATTAACAAAGTCGGTCGCGAACCGGGCGATTAGATATCTCGAAAGGATACAAATGTAGTAATACAAAATCCCAGGGACTGTGTGTTGTAGATTCGCGGGGTGTGCTGTATTTTTTTTTTTGCTTTTTTTGGGGGGAAATTTGGAATGAACTTTCGAGTCCCGGTCCGATAACCAGTCGGCTCCTCCTCGCGACAGGAAAGAAAAGTTAGAACGGATATAGAGAAGTAGTCGAGTAAGCGATATACAATACAAACGTAATAATATATAGTAATCCATAATGTATGGGCAGTAGGATCGTCTCGTCGATAATAATAACTACGGACTTAAGAACAGTAGTTCGGTAGCAAAATATCAAAGTTTTCTTCGCGTTTTTTGTCTCCGCCGTTAATGATCGACGATACAATACGGTATTAAAAAAAAAAAAAAACGGATTCGTAAGACTACACTCCGGTTAGCTGTTCGTCGATTGCCGTTCCAGCGGCTCCATTTCGAGGATGGCTTTTCAATAAGTCTTTCCGATAACAGGGCCGTTATACTCCCGATATGATATCAGGGAACAGCCGGTACAAATTATGATATCATTCGGAAAAATCTACCGACACCCCGCAAGCATCTCTTTACAAGTACACGCTTACAAGATGTCCTTTAAAGCAATTTCTAAAAAAATTAATAAAGCGGATTTCGCATTTAATTTTTGGCATGCAGCACCGATCGAAAATCAATCATTTCGCGAGTCCCTGACTCCGTATTTCCTATAGGCGGTTCTTTTTTTTTTCGCGAATTTCCTTCTTTTTTTTTCTCCAGGCCGGACTTCCGGTTTTCCAGATTTAAAAAAAAAAATGGCGGGGGAAAATACCCCGAAGCCGAGAATATTTAGCACGACGGAGATCACAGTTCCAGAGTCGCTGAAATGGCACTCGAAACGTCGAATGATTTCTTCTTTTTCTTTTTTCTTCTTTTTTTTTTATCTTCGAAAACAAGCAAACGACACCCCGAGACATATGTATATTATATATCGCGCCCCGGAAGGAACGACTTCCTCTTCCGTTTAACGTCGACTTTTTCTCCCGTTTCGGCGGTCGACGAGTTTATTCATTAATTCTCGCTTAATTCCCTTTTTACGTCCCATTCGCGCTGACGAACCCTTTTGCAATTTCTTCTCGCTTAATTTCTTAAGGTGGCTGCACACGTTACGATAAAACGTAACGTCTGTACATCCTCGTTGCTGATAACGTTTCAGGGCAACGTTAAACGTGTACAAAAGGAAAGATAGAAAAATTTGGGATTTTCAATATCCAGGATTAAATCCAGTCATTCTTAAATCTGCGCATATCAGTTCTTACAGATTTATCGTAACGTGTGCAGCCCCGTTTAATTTTTTACGCTTCTTATCACGATACTAGTACGGTAGCACACCAGCGTGCAAAGGTCCCAACGAAAGTCATCGTGCCCCCCCTCCGTCGACGGCGAATTTCGAAGTAGAATAAAATTTGTAATAAAATAGAAATATCTAACACGCTCTATAATGAAATATAGTGTAAATAAGATCCGCTCGCAATGCGCCTCGCCGTGCCGACGAGCCATTGTGATTTCTCTCCGTTATCAATTTCCCATCTTCGATTCTTTCACTTTTCTTTTTTCTTTTCCCTTTTCTCAAAGTGGGAGCGGCTCCCTCTACTCTCCACCTCCTTCTGCTCTCGAGTAGATATAATATGTATATCATCGAGGAGACGACTCTCCTCGCATGCGTAATCTACACTCTTCCACCCTGAGAATAAGAAATATCATTAAACCAAATTGAACGGTAGCAAAGGAATATTTCTTTACTTCGGGGAATGATTAATTGACTGACATGGACTCGAGTAAGTTGGATGCAATGTTTCTTCTTTTTTTCTTTTTGTTTTTTTCTCTCCCCCGGAATTATGACAATTTATTTAAATTTATTTCTCAGTCAAATAATTATTCTCTGTAGCGACGAAATATCAGTTTGGCACTGTTCTATGATTTCTTTGGTACAATGAATGTTTTTCTTTCTCAGCGCACTTGTCGCGTCCCGTTACGCACTAGATGCCGAAACGACAGGCCTCCCCTAAGATTTATCGTAATGGTATGTTTTCCGAAATATATCCTTAATATATCCTCTAGAAATCCTCCCTCTAAATAGTCTCCGACGAAGGACCCCCTCGAGGATCCTCCATTCGCCGATCGTTCCTCGAGAATCACCTCGCGACACCTGTCATCACCGCATCGAGCGAAAGATAGAAAAACCCGACAGCCGTTAATATTAATCTCTATTTACACGAAGAAAAGAAATTAATTAGAAACGCTAAATGATTTCTTATCGGGGGGATAAAACGAAGGCCGTTCTACTCCGGACGCGTCGAAATCAAAACACGTGTCACGGACGGCGGTTTCCCGCGAAAGTAGTGCATCCCCCAGAGAAATGACTGGGATAAAAGTTGTTCCTTACATCTCGCGGAAGAACTTTTATTCGAGGCATTTTGTTATACAACGCGCCGTTTTGGTAGAAAGGAGGGAAATGCGGCCGCGGTTATTTCGCCCGACCCGGCGCCTCCACTCCGGAGAGCCCATCGGCGTCAGGCAACCTGAACACTCGTCTTTCCATTTACTATTGCGACTTCCTATGGCAAATTGAATAGGATGAAATTCGTCCTGAGATCACCAGGGATGTGTGTGAGCTATGGGTAAAATTGCACTGACCTTTTCGTTTGAGTTAAATTAAATAAACGGTGAAAAAAGAAGAAAAGAAAAAAAAACGGAACGAGCGAGTTCCTCGCGTGTCCTTAACACCTTCGGCTCCTCTTCCTGTACATCCTATCTCTTCATCCCTCCTCACATTTTACGTTTTATGTTTTACACTATTACAGGGCGCGACCCTCGAGACGACTTATATATTTCTCTCCTTACGTTGATATATCGGTATATAAGATATATCCCATTTGCGACGCTCTTAATCTTTGTAGAAGTAGCTCCCTACCCCCGATAAGGGGGTAGCGATTAGTTAAGATATAAGACACCATAATACGTAGCGATATTTTCCTTCCCCCATTAAGGGGATGTGAAGCTTCATCCGAGGAATCGATCGTTCACAAAACCTTTCTCTCTTCTGCCATACCGAATGGGCAGCAATTATTTAAACGTCTTTATAAATTAAAAAAAAAAGGAAATTTGAAATCTCATGACTATCGGGACCTTCCTTACAGCCTCCGCATTTGCGTGGTAAAATTTGAAACGATTCGCGTACCACCCAGTTAGGTGAAAAGTCTCAAAATGAGATCTCGGCGCCGCTTTCACATCCCCTTAAAGGTTGAGTTTCAGTTTAATTCTTGGGAACATCGGCTCTCGACCTGGCGCCGATTTTTCCGAAATTCTCGTTCTTACACTCATGGGGCGTTGACTGCCGACATGGGTGTCGCAAAATGTCACGTGGATACACGGTTAAAAATATATATATATATATACATGTATATGTATACATATATAATATAAAGAAAACATGGAAAGAATAATTAAACTGCCAAGACGTCTCCTGGCGTCTTTCCATCAGCGAAGATTTCACGGTTTTTTGTCGCGCGATAAAAATCATCCTTCCCGAGCTCGCGACTGTTTTCGTTGACGAGTGCCTACGAGATACTTTATGTATAGTATATATGTACATAGTGACGAGATAGTTATCCGCGTTAGAAAAGAACATGCAATACTGCGTGTCATTCCCTCAGAAGCGTTGCAATCTCACACCTTCGCCTCGGCTTGAGGACGCGAAGGATAAAAACTAGGTTCACGGCAGCATTTATCGGGGAGCGGCGTTAAAAATATCCCTTGGAGAGCCCCGAATCTAGATCACAGATCCTGGATCATGGATCGTCAATTCTGACCCTGGTTAGTTAGACAGGCGGTGTCCTTTGTGCGAAAAGCGCAGCCACGATGAGGAGGGAGGGACCCTCTTTATTTAGCGTTTTAATTTTAAGCATACCTCGCTTTTTGCAGCGTTGAAAGACACTTTCTTAACCGCTTAAACGCTACGGATGAGAGACGTCTTCTAACGCCAAAAGCGAGGACACGGGGCAAGGTGTGCTTCCAGAATTTACGGTTGAAAAGAAAAAAGAAAAAAAAAAACATCACACGCGACAATGGAAATAATGAAAGTACGAAATAAATGTATATACGGTTACATTCCTCGTATCTTCGTTTCAGTTTTTAACGGGATTCTACCGGAGATTCGGGTAATCGTTAATTTTAAGGAGAATTTCACGCGGTACTTGTAACGAAACCGCGGCCATTTTGGAAAATGGCGCACTTCTGGGAGCACACTTTGTCTTCTCCGCATCGTGGGTGTGATTTAAGGAACATCGTTGGAATAATCTCGCTCTACGGCGATTTGCATATCACTGGCTGGCATTGCGATCGCCAGGGCAAAAAGGACACGCGTTTGAAAGTATAAAAAGAGGATGATTCCACTCCAGATCCGAGGTGTCTGGTAATGTCTCCGATTTCACGAATAATGGCGAACGTTGACCTGAGACCTTTCAGGAAACGGGGCGACGTCGCCCGTTAATGACGGATATGTCGAGCCCCGATGACAAACGTCATCGTAAGTGTCGTCGGAGCGCGATGGCGGCGAATTCGAGGGAGCTAGAGGCTCTCTTCTGACCCCTCTGGGCGAATTTTCTTACGTGCGGATCTCCTCTTGCTCGAAGGCGCGGACCCGCGACTTACGACATGGAGGAACATGGCAGTCTGGGCGAGCCCATCTGCGTGAGAACGCGGTCTAGCCACTGCAAAGGGCCGTTCAGGTGCAGCTCGATCCAACATGGAGTCGAGGTGACGGTCTGCCGGCGATATTCCGCACCCCAGCCCTTCACGAAGCTCATCCTGATCGTGCACATCCGCGTCAGCTGATATACCGCCTCGAAGCCCTGGGACACGGACTGCGACAGCAGCGCCGCGAATTCCTGGTTGTTGAAGATCTTCAGGTTGCAGCCTGAAGGAAAGAACGGGGCTCTTAATAGCATACGTACACTGAGAAAAAAGGAAGTCGCTACCGAAGCGCAGCGCAATTTGTAGACACCTTTATCGGGAACCTACCTGGTGGTATCTTGCAGACTGTGGCAGGATGCCAGCCGTAGCGCTGGTTGCAATTCGGACTCTGCACGAAGATGCTGGAGTCCGACAGACACTCTGCGAAGACCTCGCCGCCGATGTAGTAGAGTCTTACGCCCTTTCCGATGTGTCTTCTGGTCTGCTCGACGACGGAGTTCCGGTTGACGTTGGACAACAGACCCAGACAAAAACGCTCCGAGTTGCTGGGATCCGTGAACCCGTCCACCGTTATGCTCGGCTGGGACGCGTGGAACGTCTCTCCCACCCTCGTGTTCAGCTCGTAGTAACTTATGGAACACCTGCAGACAGGGATATGAAGTTATGAAATGATTTTCCAAGAGACCAAGCCGGATCACCGGGAGGCTCGCTTCTCCGGAGCGTTGTCAGGTCGTGATCTAGAGATTCAGACCCGACGACGCTACCTTCACATCCTCTTCTACGAACCAGAATGCCGGCTCGCAGTACATGACCGGCTGGGCGTCGACAGGACTAGGTGACAAGCGAGACAAGGACATGTTGTCGTTGTGGTCCATGTTGTCGCCATCCTCGCTGATGTACCCGGGAGGCGGGGTGTCAGCTGGGGGATCCATAGACCCGGGGGCAGGATGCGGCGAGCCCTGGACGCTACCGAGGCTGCCGACACTCGCCGGACTCGTGGCCTGCATGCTCTGCAAGGAACCGCCACGTTAGGGACATCGACATCGCCATGATAGATGATGAAATCACGTGACGAATTAAATCAGCTAGCCCTGATTTCTTGTTCGACGACCTCGCCGGGGCGCACCTGCATTCCTGGGTATGGATTATTTGGTTGGTGCTGCTGCGGAGACTGCGGGATACCCTGCTGGTTGTGGTGCTGGTGGTTCAGGGTCGCGTGGAAGCTGGTGTTTTCAGGAACGCTCACGCTGAGTTCCTCGAGGGAGGTGTTGTACAGGACGGACTCGTCCCCGGAGAGGCTGTGCCTGGGCACCAGGATCGCCGGCAGAACTGGAACGATGGAGATTGTGAATTGAGTCGAGGGTAACGGACGAGATGGTGATAAAGAAAAAGGGAAAAGAAAGGAAGGAAAAACGTCCCGTTTACGGTGGGACAGTTTCTGGATACCTTGGATACCCTGGTCGGGGGAAAGGAACCTTCGTAAACGTGATCCCCATCGGGTGGCATTTGCATATCGCCTTAAAGGAAAGCGAAAAGAGAACCTGGGTCTTCTTTTACCTGGCGTCTGTATCCGCTGATAGTGGTAAGGGTTGACGCAGACCTCGTCCCTCTTCTGCGTGAAGGCGTACTCGCAGTGCTCGATCGCCCTGAGCTCGTGGTGCGACTGCAAGTCCGGCCAGCGCCACAGTCGACAGTAGACCACGTGGGGCAGACCCTTGCCTCGCACACCCTGGACTCCGTTGTCGCCGACACCCCCGGGGCTAGGCCTAAAAAATGAAGATCCACGGATTAGGAACACGATAGGAAAAAATCTGCACATAGAAACACAATGACTCCCGTCGCCATGATAAGAATGAGCGATACTTATTCTGGCGAAAAATCATACAATCTTCGTTTTTTTCATTTTCTGAATATTTAAATCCCGTCGTCGATAAAAAAGGATCTTCAGAAAATCATGAAGTACATTCCAACGGCGTCTGGAGGCTAAAATTCCCTGATATTGTTTACAGTTCGATTAGTTAGATATGCGAGTTGCTTTTAAGGCGTCAGATTACAGTTTAATTACAACCTCGGGTACCGATAGTGAATGGACTTCCTTCACAGGGGAGCCTCGACCTTGGCCAATAATTCCGCCCGGCGAAACCAATTAATTATTAATCCCAGATCGAACCGACTGGTTCTCAGAATCCGAGAGAGAAAGCCTCCGGGTGAGGGACTCGGTAATTACGGGATTACGGGCTTCGAGTTGGCGAACAATTAGGAAAAGCCGCTTCAGGAGTCAATTTAACGTGTACTGACGGCGACTTCCCGTTGACAAGTTTGTCAAGTTAGGAATCGCTGTCAGATAAAAATTTTCACTTATTTTACTTAACGTCTCGGAGGGTTCTTACATTGGCATTGACGCTTTACGTAAGGCGCAATTAGGGGATCGAATAAACGGAGCGTTGAGGCGCCTCCACGTTCGATAACCCTGGAGGAAGTACGGAGAACCCGAAGGGACCGCCCAAGAGAAACAAATCGTGGCCGGATATAAACAAATAGCGCAAGAGCTAACTGGCGTCGATTGCGGAGCGCTATTTTAGCAGCACTGCCGGATGAGAACGTCGTGTGTGAGAAGGAGGGAAAAGAGGGAAAAAGAGAGAAACGAGAGACAGAGAGAAACGGTCAACTCTCACCGCACTTTGCACCGCGGTCTCGCTACCGGAATCGACTCTACGGATCTCGAAACGACGCTTCGAGAGAGTTGATGCCCTCTGCTCTTCGCAGGGATTTTTCCCATATGAAGGTTCGGTTCGGTAGCTTTGTAGTTCTTGTAGTTCTTGTGGTCGTTGCAGATCCGCAGCCCCTCCCAGAGAGGTTCGGAAGGCACTCTTCGGGTCCCTGTCTTTGTAGCTTTTGCGGTTCCGTAGCTGCAGTTTATTGTCGCACTTGTAGTTCTTGTAGCTGTAGTTTCTGCAGTTGTTAGTTTTTGAAATGGTGCAGGTTCTCGGAGGGGTTCTACGGGGACTTTCACCGGGAAAATCTATGGGCACTTGTCGGGACTTTGTCGCGCTCAGCTGTGATTTCGGTATACGGTGTCGCAGGGATACTCTTCATCTTCTGCGTGCTGAAAAGAAAAAATTGGGTAAATCGGACGAGTCCTTGCCTATGTGCCTCGTAGTCTCGGGACGTGTAACGAGAGATCCTATCGATATGTGCGGTATATCGACCTTGGACGTCTCCGAACGCGCGTCCATTCCGCGGTGCATGCGCGCACGTGCGTGCGCTCCTCCGCAACTCTCGCAGCTTTTGCTACACTTGAAACGCAGTAGTTCTTGCAGGACCGTAGCTATATAGGAATTGTGGTTTTACAAATTCTAGCAGTTCTGCTGAACTACAAGTTCCATACCTCTCATAGCTTTTGCTGCACTTGAAAAGCAGTAGTTCTTGCAGGACCGTAGCTCTATAGGAATTGTAGTTTTAGACATTCTCGCAGTTCTGCGGAACTACAAGTTCCATACCTCTCGCAGCTTTTGCTGCAGTTGAAACGCAGTAGTTCCTGCAGTACCGTAGCTCTATAGGAACTGTAGTTTTAGAAATTCTCGCAGTTCTGCGGAACCACAAGTTCCATACCTCTCGCAATCCTTGCAGCATCCGAAATCTTGCAGCTTTTACAACTCGACAGTCCGGCAATTCCGCAGCTCCGTCCGGATAGCGCGACACTGCACCCGGTTACATAATTCGCGGTGCGGCGCGGAATTCCTCTCGAAACTTGGGCTGCGACATTTTCAGGGAAAAAGGCTCGCCGGAGGAGGTACGAGGTCCTCGGGCGAGTCGCAAAGAGGCCGCCTCTCTCGAGGGACGGATTCCGCGGAGAGACTCGCGCGAATGAGCCGCGATTCCCGCCGCGGAATCCGCGCCGGCCTCTCTCTGTCTCTCCTGTCCCCCTCGCTCTCGAGCTTACGTAAACCCAAAGAACTCGGTAATGGTCAGGTGATTCACGACAGGTAATATTCATCCTTGGAGCGTCGCCTCTTCGCGAGAGAACGCGCGGACTCCCGCGAAGATTGTTTAAACAATTCGAGAGTCTTTGTCATGGCGCGAAGTTCCTAGGGTCTCTGGGTGAAAAATCGTAATTCAGTCGTCTTAGAGATAATCGAGATCCAGCTCGCCTAATTGCAACGATCCTTCGTTATGCCCTGAAGAGCACCTAGCCCTTTGCACCAGGGTAACGAGTAATGATCTTAGTACGCACTTCCGTGATTTCGTTAAGGCTGCCTCGTTTAATCTCCTCGGGGTAAGGGCGGCTCTGTTTTAACGACGGGGAATTTCTTGAAGGCAGCTTCGACGGGGAATTTCTTGAAGGCAGCTTCGACGGGGAATTTCTTGAAGGCAGCTTCGACGAGGAATTTCTCGAAGGCAGCTTCTACGAGGAATTTCTTGAAGGCAGCTTCGACGAGGAATTTCTCGAAGGCAGCTTCGACGAGGAATTTCTTGAAGGCAGCTTCAATGAGGAATTTCTTGAAGGCAGCTTCGACGACGGGAAAAAACTGTGATACGGCTTCGAATACGGTGAGTGAAACAGCCTCGGGAGTCCAAAGTATCTCGGCAACCGTGAACCCAGGAACGACCTGTCCCGATCACTCTCTGCCAATCGGAGTTGCGAAAACCGGTCGGTAATTGTGAATGGCCTGTAAAAGGGTGCTTAGTAAGTTATCGGAGCACTTGGCGCGTTTACGAGCAACTACCTTCCAGGTAAACCAACCAGGGCCACGAGAGCCTTCCTCGGTGGACCGTCACCGTCGATTCTACGAGGATGACAATCGTCATCAAGGAATTATTAATTCCCTCAAATGAACTCAAATTAACCGTCACAAATCCGAGGAAACGTTGCGTCCAATTTACTCGAGTCTGATCGAGTAGAATAATTATACTTGAAATTAAGAAAATCGGTACTATTCAAGGAAATATCTCAAAAGTGACGAAAATGATAAAAACCACCGACTCCCGATAATAGGTAATATTGATAACTGCATGGCATCGAGTGTTCGAATAGATGCCGAAGATCACCAGATGCAAAACACCGTCGATTTTAATTGATAGGGCCGGTTTATCTCCCTCCGATGCAACGGCCTCAAAAGCCGCGGAAAAGAAAGTCGGGAGAAAAATCGGCGATAAGATACAGGCCTTGCGAACGGCCCCGATAAGACTTATCCGCCTTACTTGCCTCTTTACCGACGTCGTCGTCACCGCTAAGGGTACTTCCAATTTACCCACGAGAACCGGGTCCTCTTCGAGAGGCGTAGAAACGACTTCCCCGAGGACGGGGAGAAATGGAGACCGGGAGGGACACCTCGCAAACGACGCGTGTCACTCGCACGTGGCGCGCACGTGTACGCATTGCAATCCACGCATTTCTCCCCGAGAGAATTCGAAGAGGACCGTACAACGGTCAAAAATAAAACAATCCAGACAATACAGAAATTATATACACGGATAATTTCTTCAGGACCTTTTGGGGACCGTCCGGGAGGGCCACGTTTTAATTATGGACTATTAATAAGTGGTCCTCAGGTGTGGACATGTACGGTAGCCACGGTGTGGCTATCGATTCCCGTCTGAGGTATATCTTCGTGTCAGTCGGGCCGCCCAGGAGTGCCCGGTGTGATATAATGCCGATAACGACGTGCACACGTACCCACGTAAGTCGGGGGTAATATACGAGACACCGAGGCACCTCCCACCAGGCTCCGTTTTCTCTGGTTAGACATCTTGGCTTTCTCGCCGGGAAATTTGGAAGCGCTCTCTTCCTTTCTCTCTCGTTCCTCATGAAACTTCGAAGCGCTGTCTCTTTCTCTGTTCGGTCAGGTCTTGCGGCAGGTCAGGGAAAAGCCAAGCGGCGACATGTAGTCTGCCGATGAAATTAAATCCCGCCATTGATCTGTATGTTAATCTTCATTTTTCACGGATCCTTTAAGGTGACATGAAAATGGCGTCTGTCCATTTCTAAATGGCATAGTTTAAAATGTATATAAATTTTCAATTGAAAATGAAAGTGCCGATACAGTTTAGATAGGATTGGAAGCACTTCGGAGACTGAAATCTCTTGGGCTCGTCTCCTCATCCGTTGAGGAGAAAATAATATTCAATTAATAGGAAAGGGAATATTAAATATGTATCGAGGAGTTAATCTCATTTAATTACGTTCTCCTTGAAAGGAGCTGCCCGGGAGAAATATCTTAGGCATTGCTATCCCTTCATTTAAGGTTGTCATGTCGGTAGAGTTTTGAGTCATTCGCTATAAAAGCAACTCCAAAACGGAACAGCTGATTGTCAATTTATCAGCAGTCGGTAGGGTGAATTCCTCAAGATAATTACAATGACAAGGTTCAAAGAATAATTCCATTACGTGAAACTAAACGGTGATATATATGATAAATAGATACCTTGGTATCGTGATGCACTTAGTGTTGCAACTCTGCGTGGTGATGGCCTTCTCGAGTTCCTCGAGCCCAGCCGACTTCTTCAGCTTCTTGACGAGACTCTTGACAGCCTTCTCACTCCATTTATCCTCGCCCTCAGCCTTTTTCCAGCCCAGCAGCCGCTTGACGATAGGCGGGTTAAAGCTGGGCAGCATCGAAGTCATCATTTGCACCGGACGAGGAGCTCGCGACCCGCATCGGGCCGCCCTTCCCAAGTTGCGCGAGGAACGCGCCAAGTACTTCGGCCTGCGGTGCTCCTAAGCACTCCGAAATCTCCTTCAACGACTACCAGGGTTGGAGGTGCTCCGAGGCTGGACGAACCAGATATCGAGCCCACCTTGAGATCTTCGAACTTCTAAGAGTCGATGCACCAAGAACTGTAGCGAAGTGTAGATGGTTGATACAAAGCGTAGATAAGTGGGCCGGGAGGACGAAGGAGATGACTCCAAGCACTGAGTAGATCCGTCGAGGACACAAATCGCCGTGTTGCGTCAAAATCGTTTCCTCAGACGAGCGCCGCCAGACTCGCCACGTCCGCCATTTTGTACCTTGGTCAGTCTCTGCCGGTATCAGCGATCCTCGGGAATCTTCCTGGCGAGTAACTATTTAATTAAAAGCACGATATCGCTCGTTTCTGTGGCGCTTCCTCATCCCGACAGCCTGCTTCCCCTTTCTTTCCTCTGGACGATGTTCGGCTCGCCTCGGGACCAATCTGCAACCTCTGAGCTGATCATCCGGTGATCGCAAGGAAAATCGATCAGATTCGAGCGGAGCGTTATAACCTTTTTAACGGTCGACTTGTCGACTCACCGTGGTGCGGTTCGCAGATTTCACCGGAGCCTCGGAATCGAAGCTCCTCCTGGGGGTACTCTTTGTGTCCCGGAACACGAGGACGAACGTTTTAAAGAGCCTCCGGCGATGTGCGAAGCGTCATTCGTCGAGATTCCGAAAAAAATTCACTGCCGAACTCCGAGTGCACTGGACTGCAAGGCCGCAAGCTGGCGCGCCCGCCATCTCTTAGTGAAAGCAAATACTACTAGGCAGAAGAGGACGTGTTCCGAAATGTTTTACTTTCGATACGAAAATTTCACTTTCCCGTATGTTTGACGGCGAAAAGTCCTGCAAGAATGACATTGAAATTGTTTTATTCATGACTTAAATTCCAATTTTGAATGGTTGGATTGCAAAGTCGTGAGGTTACGCGCGCGCCATCTCTTAGAGGAAGCAAGTATTACTCGGCCGAAGGCGGCGTGTTCCGAAAGGTTTGACTTTCGATACGTATATTTAATTTTCTTGGGAGTTCGTCGCCTGGACATAGCGCAAGAATGATATTAACATTATTTTAGAGAAATGCAACGCTTTCTCATATAGAAGAAACGAATGTTTCCGGTGAAATGATTTTTAATCCCAGCGCCTTATACAGAGCTATGTAGAAGCCCACACATTTTTTACGCCACTTATCGATGTCAGATATTCACATCATTTAAATGTAATCGGCGGTCGGTATCGTAGTAAACTGGATTGCCGCATGAAGTTTGGACAAGTCCACCAAATCACTCAATATCGCACCGTGATGGCACCACGATGTCTCGAATTGATAAAGCAGAAACTATATCATCCTAAAAGTAAGACGAATAAGGAAGGGAATGAAATCCAGTGTCACATGCACGCAGAACGCTGAATATACGCGGTTTCCACAATATCGTCATTGACCACTAACACGTAAGCGACATTAAGCGTTTCTACACCTACATAAAGTCGTAATAAAAATGGATAAACCCGGTGCAAAAAATAAGGGGATAAAAGTACGTCAAGAACATATTCAGATCTACTTTTTTTAGTCTATCAGCGCCATCTTGGAGTTCCACTTTTTATACCGCAGTGTATAGTTACTCTTCCGTCCGTCTTAACACAAAACGCTCCCTGATTCTTTTCACCCTTAGACATCCTACGAGATCATAACAACGGCAACAACTTCATGGGGTTTGCAACACGCACTGCAAATGACGTAACAATCATAAATCCAATCTTTTATCCAGCATAATTCATTCGATTTATTCTATTAGCGCAGACACCCCGCAGAGTAGGGTGGCGTAGGATGCGGAACGGACATCAGGGGTGGAGCTTAACTATGGGATAATGGAAAAGATGATTGGCGCTGTTTTTGGGACCCTGCAGCCAGTTAGGGGAGGCATAAACGAGGGGCGCATCAGTGGGAATCCGAAATGGGCTCGTTATATCCAGAAGGGGATGAACCCCGCTGCAGTGTGGAGGTCGCTGCGCCCGACCATTGGTTGGGGATCGAAATCTGCCAGCCGTTCCATCCCGAGATACGCGTGTTAATTTCCAAAGCATTCACGGCGGATTAAAGATGGAGGTCCAAGGATGAAACCGGGGTACTG